GAAGATGCGGTCGAGAGCTCTTGGTGTGATTTCCATGATGCCACGCTCTGTTTCACAGTGTCGGGTGTGAGAGGAAAGATGGGGAGGAAATTGGGCGCCCGAATTATCCGGGGTAACTCGGGTCCGGGGTAACTCGGGTTTGGATTCCCGGAAAAGGAACCCGAGTTAGCCCTGATCCGAGTTACCCCTGATGATGTGGGGCTCTGGGCGCCCGAATTATCCTGGGTAACTCGGGTCCGGGGTAACTCGGGTTCGGAATCCCGAAAAGCGAACCCGAGTTAGCCATGATCCGAGTTACACCTGATGATTCGGGGCTCTGAGGAAAGGTGGCGGGCGCATTTGAAATTCTGATTTCGAGCCTGAATGCGCTTGTCGCTGGCGTCGTTCAACTGGATCTGGTAGCCTCCGGCAGGAAGCACCACCTGCGAGCCGGCCTTCATCTCCGCAATCCTCTTCGCCTTCTTAGTGCCAGCCTCAATCTTCAACGTCCCGTTGAGGGTGCCGGCGTAGGCGTCGATCACCGCCACCTGCAGGAAACCACGAAAACACACGAGCACGAACTCAGGACGTCCGCGGACGGGCTCGCCGCTGGCGCTCGCAACCCCTCCCCGCGCTTCTGGGCGGCGCCTTTGGCATCATCCCTGGCGCGATGCGCGCGCCGAGGATGTGCGAGTTGGGAGGCAGCTCGGCGCAAGGAAGCACAGCGCCCGCGGACGTGCACCCTTTTCATGTGTGCGCGGGCGCCTCTCCCGAGCTCTCCACCTGGGCCTCCTCTTTGCTCGAGAACGCGTGGGAGGCGAACGCGGCGGTCGTGGAGTCCTGGGGTGCCGAGAAAGTATCGGTACCACTTCGCCTTAAGTCGGGCCTGTCCCCCTACAGGGGAATTTTCGACGAAAAATAAAAAATACTCAAAAAATGCACCCAAAAGGTAAAAAAAATACTCAAAAATAATCCCCCGACTATTTGTGGATTATTTTTTTACTATTTTGGAACATTTTTGGTTTTTCGTCGAAAATCCCTCTGTAGGGGGACAGGCCCGCCTTAAACTTCGCCCTGCGCCTCTCCCCGGGTGCGCTCTGACCTGGATGCCGGGGCGGCTCCCACCATGGCGACGAGGGCGCCCCAAGCCCCAAGAAAGGGCGAACAAAACGAGTGGAGGGGAGCGGCACCGGCATGTTCTGGCAAAGTTTTTCACACTGCGAGCAGCCGTGTCGACGAGAAGCAGCTGGAGCGCCCAGGAACCTCCGAATGGGCCACGTCGGCGCATAGGCATTGGCACGTACAGTCGGGCTGCTGAAATGAGGAGCTAAAAGTAAGAAACGAAACCCCGTGTTTTCCAAGTCGAGCCGCGAACTCCGAAGGAACGGCGCCGACAAATCCGAAGGAGCACCGAGGGGGCTCGCCGCCAAAAAAGCCACGGAAGGCGTGCAAACCTAAGGGACCATCGAGCCACTTCCGACCTCGACCTGGACCATTTTGCTGACTGTACTCCTCCTCCTCCTCCGAAATCCTTCGTGTGGTGGTACGGGACCAGCACCAGGTTCGCGGGGCTCTTGGGCAGGCCGTTCGCGCGGAAGGTCCCCACGCTGAGGCCCGCCATCTTGAAATCGAGGCGCTCGCCGGGCGAAAGCTGCATCGGGATCAACCGGCACTCTTTGTACTTGAGCGGCTCCTTCAGGTGACCCTCCATAACAGCACACACACACACACCCCTGCTCAGAGTTAAAACAGTTTTGAGCAAAGGAGAGGGTCATCATGCGAAGCGTGCTGTGAAGCAGTAGTCCAGGTCCAGGTATACGAAAACTGCGCAAACAAGAAGTTCAAAGAACAAACCCATAGTCCAGTCCACATTGCTGATTTCCTTTAGCGAAACCTGCAGTCCATGAGAGCTGATCTGTTCTTAAGATCTTTGTCTGCTGGGTGCCACCGCAAATCAGCTCGCGGCTCGGGGCCACCGCCAGCCCAAACAGCGGGCACACCATCGGCACAGCCCCGCCGAAAATTCGAGGAGCTGCACCACGCGTGGGCGCGGGATCCACGGGCTGCGCCCAGGTTGCGCCCTCGGTTGCCAAAACGTACAGGCGGCATGCTGTTTGCTGCGCCACCAATTGCGCACTCGGCTGTCACCTCCTCCTCCTCCTCCTCCTCCGCGCGGGTATTTGGGCTCGGCGCTGGGCCCCTGCCCTACAGCTCTGGCGTCGCCTCTGGCGCTACCCCTGGTGCGCGCGCGACGCGCCTGGGCAGGGTTGCTTAGGAGGGGGTCCCGCGCCTAGCCAAGACACCCGCGTGGACCGCACAGGAAAACTATGCTCGCGCACTGTTGCTGATCGTCTGGCTCCTCCGTGAGTTTCGCCATCTTGCTGAGGGTGTAGACGGTGAGGGGCCTAGCGTCGGCGTACGCGTTGCAGACGGTCAGGTTGTGCACGGGGAGTGGGTCCTCTTTCAAACCAGCCGCCGCGTGGGCGACGCCGAAGAGCACCAAGGAGCGGAACGCGGCCATTGGCACGACAAGTACGGCGCGCTCGAGCGAAGAGAGGCGAGACAAGTAGTGTACGGTATGACAAGCTGTGGAAGAGCTGCGGATCCGAAACGGCAGCAGACAAAACCCCTGCCGACGAACCTGTCCCCAAGCACGGATCCCAAATCATTTTGGGCTCCCCGTATGTCTTGGCACGGACGATTGTGCAGCATGTTCCGGCCACGCTACCCATTGCGAAGGAAGGAAAGGGGAACGAGAGGAAGGATGAAGGAGGAGGAGGAGGAACTAGAAATGCGGGGGTGGTAGCTTGACCAGAGAAAGCATTGCGGCAATAAGAAATAGAGATCGGGCTTGTCACTCATCAATATCTTTTTAGTACGCGCCAGCGCTGAAGCCAAACGGCGGCAGAGCATCCGATTTGACTCGGGATTGCGCGGGCGATCGAGAGGCTCGCGCGGAGACGCAAGGCCAGAGAAAAGTCGGGAGAGGCAAAGAGGGGGGCGTCAAAGAGGGGGGGGTGCAAATCATGACCGGCGGCACGTGCGCGGCCCAGCGGGGGGGGCCAGGGACGTGATGAAATGAGAAGAGGCGCCATGACATCTGGGGAGATATCATGGCCCCCGCCATGCTATCCACCCCCTCCTAGTCATCACCCCCCTGTTTTCCGCCCCAGACTACTCGGGAGGCCCGTTAAGGCCAGCCGGGACTATCTGGGAGGACTGCCTGTGCGCAGCCCGAAACCGTACTACAAATCGGGGCGTTGACCTAAGGAACCCTAAATAGGGAACGAGGCCCGTCTTTTCCATAAGTTAAACGTCGATTTCCTGTCGAAAACCTAAGGAAAACCTGAGGCAAGCTGTGAAACACTTAAGGAACGCGGAGCCCCTCCCCAACGAAAAGGGGGGACCAGACCCGCCCAACCCCAGGCGCCTTCTAGGCTCAGCAGGGATGCCCCGTCGCCGTCTGGCCTTCACCGCCCGCGGCACGGCGGGGGGCGGGCTTTGCTCCAGGTCGGGGAGAGCCCGCTCGGGCCTGCACGCGCGGCACGGCGGGGAACTCGCGCGCATAGAACGGGTGCGGCTTCGGCCAGGCCGCATGAGCGCATGCTTGTAAAGAAGGGGCCCTGGGACACGCAACTAAATACACACACACACGCTAGAGGATTCCCCATGTTTTACATATGTGTTGGACTTTCGTATTCCCCCCACACTTCCCATATTTTCCCATATGTTCTGTGGGATCGACGATTCATTGTGTCTGTGTGTTTTTCCCCTCCTGAGTTTGGTGACCCCAGGACGCAGACAAAGAGGTCTGAAAGCCTGTCGCGCAGACCAGGCACTGTGGATGGCCCCAGGGTCACGTGGAGATGCGAGGAGGAGGCGCGACGGCGACTAGACCGAGTGCGGTGGAGAAGGTGGGGGATGGCGGATGACCGCGAGAGATGCGCCCTCTCTTGGGCGCCATCGCCTCGAGCTCACCACCTCAGTCGCCTCGGGGCTGGGAGCCGCTGCGACCTCGCTGCACCTTCACCGCTTCGCCGGGCGCGCCCGGGGCGACACTGCCCCGCGAGGGCTTGCGGTCGTCGTCGCCGCGGGCTACAGCGCGCGGTGCCGCGGCCGCGCGCTGGCGCTTGACCTTCTCGCCTCTGTGGCACACCTTCTTCTTGGGCTTGTCGCCGTCGGGCTTGGTCTGGTCCTTGCTCGCGTCCTTGCCCATGCCCTTGCCTGTCGCGACGGCCGCGTGCCCTTGGGGCCGATCGGCGCCGCGCTGCCGACGCGCTGCCAGAACGGGCGCGGCAGAGACGGGCGCAGTCCTGAGCCGTGGGCGGCGTCGCTGCCGCAGCCCCTTCCGGCCCCGCTGCCGCTCGCCGCGCCCCCTCTCCTGGCCCCGTGGCTGCGCGGGCGGATGCGACGAAGTCCTTTGGCGGGGGCCCCTGGAGTGACCGAGCCGACCAGATTTGGCACAACTTGGTGTTCGGCAGCACCACGGGCACATCGATGGCCTCGTTGCCGCGCGCGGGGCGAGCATTTGCAACCTGGCCCACAGCGCGGCGAGCCTCGTGAGTGAACCGCCATGCCGCACCATCGTCTCCGTGACCGCGCCGCTGACTTGGCGCCGCCGAGCCGCCGCGTGGGCAGGGGAGCCGACGTGCCAGCTTCGGACGATCCGTGCCTCGTCGTCGCCATCGGCCGTCGCGTCGGCCCCTCGCCGAGCGCCGCGGGCGGCGCCTCGGGCGGAGGAGGCGCGCGCGGAGGTGGAGCTGGCGCGGTCTTGCTGGTCGGCAGCGCGCGCCCGGGCCAGACGTTCCAGCGGCCGGGCGGCGCCGACGGGGCTTCGGAGGGTGGCTGCGAGAGCGAGCGGCGGCATCAACATGTGCCCGTGGATGCCCTCGCGGTGCCAGCGGCCCAGCTGCCCCCCCTCGACGGGCCCATCCAAGTGCGGGCGATCCCCGGGCAAGGGAACAGTTGGCGGCCCTCCCGGCGGCCTCGCTACGGCGGGCGGCGGTGCCCCGGGGCCTCCGGGCGGAGGAGTAGCAGGTCGAGCGCGCTCGCGGGGCGCTGCGCGGCCCCTGGGTGCCGCGGGCGCCTCATCTGAGGGTGGCGCCTCCGCGCGGGGCGATGTTGGATCCGTTCTCGGACACCGCGGCGGTGGCGCCGGGGGCCGCGGCCGCGCGCGCGGCAGCGGGTGGCCGCCAGCGCGCAGCGGCGCGCGTCGGGCGCCCGTGCGAGGACCCGCCAGAGTGCGAGCCAAGCCGCGCAGTTCCGCGCGCCGCGGCTGCCCGGCGCGCGGGTCAGCTCGCGAGAAACATGCGCTTCCCTCTCTGCCCGCGTATTCTGCATGCTGCTGCGCCAAGGCTCCTGCCAACAACTACGCCTGGACTGTCGCGCTGCTGCGACTGCCCCAGACCCGGCGCGCGCGACGGCCAATCTTCCGAACGAGATGAGGCTGGGGAAGAACAGGTGGTAGCAAGGGGGTGGATCACGAACTAGTCCGTGCACTGATGCTTGTGAGGTTGTCAGAGGACAGCTGGCACGCCAGGCCCGACGGCGCAATGAGTTTGCCGGCCGCGTCGAGGGCGACAGCGCGCGGCGCGCGCGCGCGGCCGCCAGCGGGGGCCGCCGACTACGTCGTGGAAGGCAGATCGATAGGTCGTGCCCGCGGTCAGCCCGTCCGCGACAATCTCGAGTGTCTCGCCAGCTCAAGGCCCATAGTTGGCCCGGGCGTAGGAGATCACGGGGCCGAGGCGCGCGCGGCAACAGCGAACGTCCTGCCGGGGGCTTCGGTCTCGCAGCCGCAACGGCGGTGGCTGCGCCCATGGGGCCCAGGCAGATTTCGATTTGCAATGCGAGAGGCTGCTGACCATCTCGCTGGTGGCGCGCCGCTTCCGGGCCGCGCGGGCCCCTGAACGCCTCGTGGGGCGCGGTGGCCAGAGCGAGGCCGTGATCCGTCGAACTCATCGCGAGCGACAGCTCATTGGCGAATGCGCTTTGCGTCGCAGTCTGAAGCGCCCCGCGCTGTCTGTCCAATCTGTGGCGTGCTGGTTCACGAACGGATGCCCATTGCGCGCCCGCCTCCGCGGCGCCCATGCGCAGGAAGGTGGCCCCCTCTGAGCGTCCGCATTGGCGCGGCCTGGGCCCGTCTCACCAGAGAGCTGGGCTCGCGCACGCGGCCGCGCGTCGAAGCTGCCGCGTGGCGCAGGAGAGCTACGACGTAGACGGGGAAGCCGATTCGGACGATGAAAGCAAACGCCAAGTCCATGAGCAGGCCGGGCCATACCTTGGCCAGGTCTTCGGAGGCGATCTCAGAGATTGACTCGCGAACGAGCTCGGCACCCCTACTGGTTTCAAGGTCTGGGTGAATTCGATCTGGTCCAGCTCGGATCCACCGTCGCACGCGGGAGAGTGGCGCGCCCCGCAGCGCGCAAAGGCCCCCCTTGCTGATGCCCAGCTCACCATGGCCAAAAGCATCCTCTAAGCACTTGCGCAACTTATCCTTCTCATGGGGCAGTCCTGCTACTTTGATGTCGCCCGCGTGCTTGGTCAATTGCAGGGCAAGCTCGCCGTCCCCGTGTTTGGCGATGAACTTGTTGTCATATTGTGCGAAAGTGGCTGGGTACTTGTGGTTCTTGGTCTTGGTGAATTGGACTGACCAGCATCTCGGTGCATCCTTGCGCCCGGACCCTGGTTTCTTCATGTGGAGGACATCTAGTGCAGGGTCGAAATGTTCGCGCCCTTCGCACATTGCAGGACTGTGCAGGCATCGAGGGAGTGCTCGAAGTTGACATCGCGCTCCTCTTCGCCCGTGGCCTCCGCAAGTTCTTGGCTCTGTCTGAGAAGGCGTTCTTGACGTCCCACGCGTCGATCTCTCTTCCTGGGCAGGTCGCCTCGGATACAGGAACGTTTTGGGAAGGCCGGGATGAGGTGCCGTCATTCGTGGCACTGAGATCAGCGTCGATGTCCTTGACGCCTCGGAGGGTCAACCTTATCCAAATGATCCGCACGTTCCGCGACAGGTCGGTCTTGCTCCGTGTCCACATCCACATGCCTGCCCACCTGCAGTCCAGGACGTCGCGTGCTCGTCGGCGCGGGGGCCGCGCGAAGCAATTCTGATCCACTCGTGCCTGCCGCTCCTCGAACACCGAGGCTGCAACTGCTGCAGCACGCAGGTAATACTACAGCCTTCTGGGTTCCTGTCGCATCATAAACCCGGAGTCGCGCACACCGTCCGCCAAAGACTTGATGGTATAAGATAAGTTTGTGAGTCGCGTCTGGGACTAGCATGTCCACATGGGCGTTTCCCCAGTATCATCGACGTCGAAGGCCTCTGCTGTAGAGAGAGGCGCAACGCCCACTGTGTGATAGTGGTGCTGATGGCGGACCTCCGTGGAAATCGCTCGTGGCAGTGGATGCGAGGGTGCTGCTTAGAGCTCGATCCTCATTCTGTCCTCGGACGTTACCGACCCTGCTGACAAGGCGTCCTGCATGACCGTCTGTTGATCGTGCGCTAGGGCGGCCCACCAC